GTGACAGTGCCAAGCAATGTGACGTGACTTGCCTGAGGTCACCCAGCTAGGGAGGGGCAGGGTCTGGAGTAGAGACCCAGGAGAGGAAGCTGGAAGGATGTGCAGTTAGGACTGGTCTAGGAATTTGTCTATGTGACCCTGGGGGAGTCATCTGATGTCTCTGAGCGAGACCACAGAGACCTGCTAAGAGTCACCTGGGTCCTGACTGGTCCCCCTTTCCGCCTGCCCAGCCCCGGGTCTGACAGTTCCCATCAGCCGACCCCCAAATGAGGCAGCAGGAGGGAAGAAATCAGCCTGCGAAAAAAGAAAAACGAGCGACGGAAGAAAGCAGCAGGCTTCCAGGCCTGAGGGGACCGGCGAACCAGGGCAACCCCCGGGCAAGCAGAGGCAGAGCGCGCCTGGGCGCTGGCTGCCGCCCACCCCCGGGCCCCACGCCCTTTCACCACATCCCACGAGGGCTCCACGGATGCCTGGGAATTCCTGCAGGGTCCTGCCCAGGGTGGGACCCATCCCTCAGTGGAGACCCCATCTCTTGCTCCTCTGGGGCTGCCCCGGCCCCGCGCCGGTGGTCTGAGCTCTCCCTCCTGCAGCAGGGGACACCAACAGCGCCCGAAGCAGGTGGCGGTGGGAGGGCAGCGGAGGCGGCTACGGGTGACTCCAACGCGTCCGAAATCGTCTGTGCAGCAGGAAGTCAAGCGTGAAATTAACTTTCACTCTGCCGCCCCAGCATGCAGACACAGAGAAATTAAAGTGACGGGGCAAGGTCTCAGGGGAGGGAACGACCTCCCACCTTGAAGCAATGACAGCAGCAGCGGCGAGGAGGCCGTGAGCGTGGGGGAGGCTGCTCTGGGGGAAGCTGGGCACCCCACCTGACCTCGGCTGGATCATCTCATTGTCCCATGGCGGCAGTCACTTATCACAGTGTATTTATTCTTAACAGCCTCCCCTACTAGAATGTCAGGCCTCATTCACTGCTATGTCCTGGAGGCCCAGAACAGTGCCTGGCGTGTAGCAGATGCTCAGTAAATATTGGTTGAATGAATGAATGAATGAATGAAGGAATGAATGAATGAATGAGTCTGGGTCTCTGTAGATAAAAGAAAAAAGAACCAAAAACCCAGTATGTGCTCTACACGCTGAGCACTGACCTCAGTGAGCACGTATGAAACTGAGCCCTAGGGCAAGTGACTTCCCACAGGGACACACAGCGAGTCAGCCAGCCAGGACGCGCTGCGGTCCCGCTTGAGGCCCGTGTGTTCAGCCACGTGGTGAGACGGGGCCTGCACAGGGCCTCCCTTCCCATGTCCGCACTGGACACGAGACAGTTTCTGCAGTCTAGCAGGAGCAGAGTCACAAAACATCAGAGCCTGCAAGGAGTGCAGGGTGCAGAGGCTGCTGAGGGCAGCTTCCTGGGCACTGCAGATTTCCTGAACATTATGCTCTCTCAGCTTGCATACCTCTCAGTGACAGGGTGCTCACTACCTACCTCAGCAGCTCCTGCAGGGGCCTTCCCATGGTACTCTCACCCCTACCCCCAGGTCCTTTCTCCCTGTGGCCACCAAAGCAAATTTTTAAAACAAAAATCTGATCACATTGCTTCCTGGGATAAACTTCATCACTGAATTCCCTTCCAACAGATAATAAAGCCGGAACTCCTTACCAGCCCTCCATGACCTGGCCTGTGCCCTCCTCTCCCTCGCCTACCTCCTCGGGCCATGCCAGCCTTCTCTGTGACCCCTGCCAGCTCAAGGAGGCCTTTGCACCTCCTATTCTACCCATCTGGGACACTCCCCGGAGGTCCACACAGCCGGCTGCTGCTCAGCCTCCAAGGGTCCCCTCAACTGTCACTGCCTGCCCTGACCTCCCTGGCTAATATCACCCCCTCATTTTCTCTCCCATCACCCCACTTAACAGAGTAATAGAATTTTTAAAAAATGAATGGACTGCACAACGAAAGTTAATCATAACCGCATTGAAATCTAAAATATAGAAGGGATGATAATTTTAGTAGAAAATATCCAAGAAATTAAAATTCTAAAGACAAATCAGTTCCAATAATTTACACACAAAGGTTGTTCTAACAGAACTCGACTACTTACAGTGTAGGAAATCTTAATTATTCATCTATTTGTTTTATATTATATTATATATATATTTTTTTGAGACAGAGTCTTGTTCTGTTGCCCAGGCTAGAATGCAGAGGCATGATCTTGGCTCACTGCAACCTCCATCTTCCAGGTTCAAGCAATTCTCCTGCCTCAGCCTCCCAAGTAGCTGGGACTACAGGCACACGCCACCACAGCTGGCTAATTTTTGTATTTTTGGTAGAGATGGGGTTTCACCATGTTAGCCAGGGTGGTCTCGAACTCCTGACCTCAAGTTATCTGCCCGCCTCGGCCTTCCAAAGTGCAGGGATTACAGGCATGAGCCACCGCACCCAGCACATCTATTTGTTTTAATTATAAACATGTTTGTTTGTGATTTAGATTTGCAACAAATTCAGTGAGGTGGCTACCTATTTAGTCAAAATGTACTTTAATAGACCACAGCCATTCTCTGACAAAGATTATGGGATGTCAAATACAGCACTGGCTTTAATATGCTTACAGTTTATTCTACTTAGACAAAGATGAAGCAATATCTATTTGCTGGTGTTATCTATATGAGTATCATGCTTCTCTTCTGTTTAGATTCTACAGCTGTCTTTATTACCTGAAATCATCCATATCATTCAGCTTAAAATATCGCTCACTTTAAGTGAAAAAACCTATGTAAAATTGTCAGTATAATAATATGGCTATCAAAAAATATTATGTTAAGAAGAAAAAATCATAACTAGGTATATGAAGGCATAAAGAGCTTAAGATAGTTATGTGAGCATAGTACAGTTATGTGAGCATAGTACTTTAGATTGGCTGGTATTTTCTTTGTCTTTTCTTTTTTTTTTTTTAAGAAACAGGGTTTTGCTCTGTTGCCCAGGCTGGAGTACAGTGGTGCAATCACGGCTCACTGCAGCCTTGAACTCCTGGGCTCAGGCGATCCTCCCACCTCAGCCTCCTGAGTATCTGGGACCACAGGCACGTGCCACCACACCCAGCTAATTTCTTTTCAATTTTGCTATATTTGGCCAGGCTGGTCTCGAACTCCTGGCCCCAGGCAATCCTCCCACCTCAGCCTCCCAAAGCGCTGGGATTATAGGCATGAGCCACTGCACCCAGCTGGATTAGCTGACATTCTCTTGTTTTGTTTACTTAACTCATTCTGGTTCTGTCTCCACTGCCAGACAAATCTTGATGAGGGGTGAGGCCTTTGTTTTATCCAAGGCTGAGTGGCCAAGGCCTCGAACAGGACCTGACACACAGCAGGCTCTCAGTAAGATGGGATGAATGAATGAGGGAATGCCCCAAACAGCCCGGACTCAGTTGAGAACACCCCACCCTCATCCCCTAACCCACCTGTGACGAGGTCCCAAGAACATCCCCCTTGCTTTCAGCACCCCTCCATCTGTGGCTTCCCACCCCAGACAGGGGCCCCAGAACAAGGGAAGTCCCAGGAAGCTGCAGAAGGGACAGGCATAGCCCGGGCAATGAATGAGCCCGCCAGGCCGATGAGGAGCCCAGGCTGCATCTGACATGGGCATTCCATACCAGCCCAGGACCCCTGGCGCAGGACACATGCCCCTTCCTGACACTCTGCAGCCCTTGTTGGCCACTAGCTGAGGATGACCCCCCACCAGCCACGCTGGTGAAGTATCTTTGTCAGGTGCTCCTGAATCCCAGAAGGCCAAGGGCCTCAACTAGCCAGGAGAGATTTTCTAGGCTGCTGCAACAATGATGCTGCAAGAGGGTGGCCAAGTTGATCACCTGAGGTTGGACCAGTCCTGCAACTCTGGAAACTACAACAGCAACGATCTCCCTGTCAACTAGTCCAGCACCAGCAGATGCGTGAAAACACTAGGAGGTTTGCATGCTTTCAGGAACGAGGAGCTCACCACCGCATATACACTCTGTAGTTCCATCCCAGGAACGCTTGAACAGTCGGACCAGGCTGAACTACCCACTGAATCAGCTAAATGCCTCCCTTTGCAGCCACACTCAAATGCATGTACCCTCTAACCATGACAAACCTCGAACATTCAACAGCTATGATCCTGAAGAGTCTCGCCTCCAACCTGCCAGCACATGTTCCTCAAGGGGCAAGATCTGCAGCCCCTTTTACCTTTTGGGTTCCTGGGCACGAATATGAGATAACATGCCCTCCTCAGCCCAGCAATCTATGCTCCTGTTAATGCATCCCAAGAAAAACCCAGCCTCCTTCCAGCTGCCACACCTTCAACGCCTTGTACCTCGCTTGAAGATACAATGCTACCAGCCTCCAGCACTGCCCCGCCCAGCGGCATGTGGCACTTAATTGACATTTTCTTCTCTCGCAGCCTCAGTCTGGGAAAAGGCCCCCATCATTAGAATACATCACATTGGCCACCTCCAAAGCCTCGGGGCCTGGATGAGTGCTCTGATCTGCCCCATAGTGGGCTGTGCCAGAGGGGCCTCGCTGTGCAGATGCCAGGTGACTCCCAAACATGCTTATGCCAGAGCCCAAAACACCAGGCCCCGCCTGCACTGAGGCCACTCCCCATCTCCCTGAGCCGGCTGCCCTCTGCCCGCAACAGCTCCCTCCTGCTCGAACAGGGTGCACATGTACACAGACTGGGACCTCTGACCTCCGTCTCTCCAGACCCACCTGTACACCAGCAGCTCCCTCGCCCACCCTCCCAAATCCAGGCCTGTCTCCCGAAACCTCAGGGGGACACTCTCTCTGCTCCCCGTCCCCACCCCAGGTGCCACCTAGGACTGTCTCCTGTCCCCTCCAGGAGCACCTGGCCCTGGCTGGGAGCCCCTGATGGGAACAGAGAGCCCACGTCCCACATCCCATGCAGGCCGCTGAGAGCCTGTTTGCCCACCCCGCCCCCGTGGTCTGCACGGCTACCCACAAGCACTCACATTTTGATGTTCTCATGATACTGCCGGGTGTCGGAGGGCTGGTTGTACAATGGCTGCAAAGGGAGAGAGAGAAGCGCGTCAGAGCCCGGCTGGCCACTGGCCACTGCAGAGCCCACCGGCAGGAGCCCCAGGCCTGGCACAGAGGAGCTGTCCTCTGGGTGAGGGCTCAGCCATGGGCAGGCATGAAACGGAACACAGGGACCCAGCACGCAGCCCCAGCCAGGAACAGGCTGAAACTGGTTCCTCCAGGACAGCTGTGGGTACGGTGACCGCCCCCACCAAGGTCGTCATAGCTGCTCTGCGGGGTATTCAGCAGTGCTGGCCTGAAAGGGGCCACAGCCCAGAGCACACCAGGACAAACCCACACACACCCCAGAGGTTGGCCCTGGCCACCGAACATGGAAAGCCGCTTGGTTTCCCAGCTCACCATGGAAATGTGCGTCCCAACGCTGCAAGATACCACTCCACCCCCACTGACGAGCAAAGACAAAAACGTTGAATAATGCCAAGTGTTGGTGAGGTCTGCGGTGACAGGAAGCCTGGCACATAGCTGGTGGGAGCATGGTGTATGGGCACACGTCCCCCAGAGAGAGAGACAGTAGCCACTGCCTGGTGACGAACACTGACGCCTCCGCCTCCGACCCCCGTGCTCCTGCAGATGCCTACTGTGCTCTGCCAGGAGACGGGCGCTAGGACGTTGCTACAGCGCTGCTCACAGCGGCCCACGAGAAGCAAGCTAGCCGTCCGCCACCAGAAGAGCAGCTAAGGAGATCAGGGATCAGCTACACCACAAATCCCACACAGCAGTGAGAAAGGGACACAGGGCCCACAGGTAGCAAGCACAGAGCTTCAAAGAGCGCACGAGGAGACGCAGAAAGCACTGCAGCGTCTGTGATGGGGGCAGGGACCCAGACAGCTGCCACATGTCCCCTCCCAAATGGAAGAACCTTGCTTAGCAACCAAGGGCACAGCCTGGGTTCAAGTCCAGGTTCTGATGCTTTCTAGCTGGGTCTCCATCTGTGCCTCCGTTTCTCCTCATCTATAAAATGGGGTTAAACTCATAGGGTTTTGCGAAGATCAAACGAGACAGTGCATGCTAAGCTCTGAGGCTGGCACCTGCAGGCTGAAGTGCCCAGAGGTGCCAGTCGCATTGTCGCCATCAGAGAGCAGTGACTGTGTTAATGGCACCCACCTTTCACGCCTCCCTGTAACCACCCATGACCTTGCTGTGGCCAGTGGAACCAGTGCACCCTCAGCAAAAGCAGAGGCTTGACGATGAGAGTTCACATTTCTGCTGTTTCTGTCAAGAGAACGAGCCTAGCCTGGCCTGCAGGAAGCGGGCAGAGAGGCAAAGAGCAGAGTGGTGCCACCCAGCCTGGGCTGAGCTACAGCACTGGCCCACCGACTCCCTTGCTGGCCACGGAGGTACAAGAGCTGAGTCCGCACCAGCAGAAATGCTCAGCTGCCTTCCAGACTGGTAAGAAACAGTAAACAGTTGCTGCTTCAAGCCTCTAAATGTGGGCTGCTTTGTTCCCCAGCAGAAGCCATGTAACCGCACTGCATAACCGATACACTCACCCCCACTGTACAGACAGGAAAACTGAGTCCTTAAGAGCTTTCAACATTTGCCCACAGCTGGTAAGAGATGAGCCTGAATGACAGCCCATCTCTCAGCTCCAGCACTGGAGGAAGGAGTATGCTCTCCTCTCTGCCTGAGCCTCTGTGTGTGTGTGTGTGTCTGTCTGTCTGTCTCCCTCTCTTCCTATCCCTCTCCCTCACCTACACACACAGCAGGAGCCTCCCAGGGTGGCCATGGGTGACTATGGTGGGAAGATCAGGTACAGAGTATGAGTGATCAGGTGGAACGGGGTAAGGATGGAGACGTGGAGTCCTGCAGCCTCGGGGCAGGGCTGCAGCAACAGAAGGGACACACAAGTCTCTTCCCTGGGGATAGAGCTGAACACACCTCCTGATGACGCCAGCACAGGGGGCCACCCAGATCCCCGCCCACCCATCCCCAGAGAAGGGCCTCTGCAGCTCTGCAGAGCCTCACAGACAGTCTTGGCTGGTGACAATGTCGCCTTTCTCCCTGTAGCCCCAGATCCCCTGCTAGGGAATTCACCACTGGACTCGGGCAATTCCAGGGTCCTGCTCAGCTACTCTCCTGGGGACAGAGATGTCATCCTGCAGCTGACATGAGCCATTTCTCCCCATGCCAGGTCAGGCTCCCCTCCCAAGGTTCTCAGCCCTGAACAAAGGGCAGTTTCCCCACCCCGACCCTGGAGGTTTGAACAAGACGAAGAAGTGAGCAGAGGAACAAGAGAGTCCATGGTCAGACTCACTGCAGAACTTTCCAGTGGAAAGAAGGGGTACGGTGCAGCATCCCTGCAGAGGGTGCGAGTCCTTGTCTCAGGAATGGCAAGGGGCCCTATCAAGATACCCACGCTGTAACCCAGGGCAACGCGTTGGCTCCTTTCTGTTCCCCACATGACGATCAAATGCCGGCCAGGTGCAAGGGGACATCACTTAAAGGTTCGGGTTTTGGAAACAGGCCCCAGTTTAAATGGTGGCTCCTCCCTCACTAGCTGTGAGCTTGGACAAGTGCCCTCAACACTCCGGCCTCAGTTTCCTCATCTGGAACATGAGTGTAGAACAAAGAGGACCTACTTCACGGAAATTTTGGATAGCCCAGAAAATTTCAGACTTGGTGAAATTTAGTGTTTGTCTTGTTTTGGTTTTAAAGATAGCAAACAGCCGAAGGGGGCCAGAAGGGGACTGGAAGCCCACCGCACACGACCCTGGGAGGGAGTGGTGGGCAGAGGGGACAGTGCTTCTGCGGCACAGGGCGGGAGCAGAAACACAGGACAGGCTCCCGGGGGCAGCAGAAGCCCGGTCAGCCTCCAACCCACCGAAGCCACAGGGGAGGGAGGCCACTTCCACTTGGTGGCCGCCTCCTCTGCCCCGTAGACAGGGACACAGCCCCTGCTTCTCAAGGCGGCCATCGGTGAGCGGCCCGCAAGGCGAAGGCCCCGAAGGACTGAGGATACTGCGTGCTGCCGCTTCTAAACAGGGGCTGCCCCCTGGGAGGCACTCACCAGTCACTCCCCGAGGCCACTGAACCCCAGGAGCCCAGGGGAGGCTCTGGGCCCAGAGCTGCTCGAATGCTGTGTGTCGCCATGGCAACAGGCTGAGGCCAGCCATCTTGGAAAGCCCAGAAGGGGGTTGGGGGAGGGAGGGACAGTGACATGTCCCGGCAGATGCATTGCTGAGGGGACACAGGGCCCGAGGGGACTCCCCAGCACCCCCCTCACCCTCTGCAGAGGGGGCTGCACAAAGGCCTGGCGGCTCCCCAGCCCAGGCTAGGCGGGGTCCCCACGTGGGGCCATGAGACACCTCCACAGCCACAGGCTGGGGGCATGGCTGGCCCCTGTCCCTCACCCCCAGGCCTTATCCTCCCGGGAGAAATGACCCCTGGGGGGACACATGCCAGTGAGGACATCAAGGCCCAGATGAGTGTGGAGCCTGGGGTGGCACCCAGGAGGCCCCAGGGTCTAGCTCTCTCTTGCTCAGCCTCCGTCTCCTCTAAAATGAGAGGCGCAGCCACTCAGAGGGCAGAAAGAGGGCAAAGGGGAGCAGGTGCCAGACGCAGGGCTTAGGCAAAGATGAGGCACAGTGGTGACTAAGAAAGCCAGCAGGGGCCAGGGAGGAGGCGGCCCCCCTCGGGCTTTGAGCCAGGCAGCAGGGCCACCAGGAAGAGCCACAGTCCCAGGCGGCCTGAGCTGGCAATAAATGAAGCGTCAGCCCCAGCCCTCAACCCGCTGGTGACACCAGCTTCTTAAAATAACGCCTTGGAACAGGAAGGAAGCAATGACTCAAAGCGGCAGAGAGGTCGGGGCTGCCGGGCGCGCCCTCCACCACCGCGCCTGCTCCCAGCCTGGCCCGGGCCCCACAGCTGGGCGGGAGGGGCCGTGCCCCACCATCTCAGAGCCCTAGACCCCTGGTTAGCACCTCTGCTGCTATTTTCATCCTTTCCAATGCAAATTCCTCCAGGGGGGCCACAGGGATCCATCCCTGCCAAGGGGAGGGGCGTTGGAACTGCAGCTTCTGATGGAAGACACCCTGGGAACTAGACTCTGTGACCACAGCCCCTGGGTCCTCAGGCCATCCCTGGTCCGGGCTTCTGACACCTAGGTGGTAGACAGACCCCTGCAGAGGGTGTACCACGGAGCTGCCTCTGCTTGGAGGATGCCTGTGGCCACTCGGGCCTGGCAGATCTGTGCAGAACTGGCCAGCCGCTCCCCCCGGGGCTCAGCACACCTCCCCACCTCATCTCTTGCTGTGTGGCCCGGCGCAAGGCACTCCCCTCGCTGAGCCTCATCCAGAAAATGGGATGGCAACAGCTCTGCGAGGCACCCTCCCTTTCCCCACTGACTGGCACCAAGCCAGGGGCCTTCAAGAGTCCAGACACTAGACCTTGGCCTCCTGTGCCATCAGCCCTTTGGAAGCCTCTGCTCTGAGATCCCCAAGCGGGAGACAAGCCCATCCCCTTGTCTCCAAAGAACCAGAGAAGACTCACTGTGGGGCCGCTGGTTCCAAAGCTTCTGACACCAGCGCTGCCCACCCCCATCCGCCCACAGACTCCCACGGACAGGGGCTTCCTCGCCTGTGTTCCTCAGGCCCTAAGACATGGGGGCCTCCAGGCCCTTTCCCCTAGGAAGCCCACAGGGACCAATCAGGAAAGGGTAGCGGGAGGACCTGGAAGTCTGGAAATGGTTGGGAACTTCATCCAACCCTGCCATCCCCATTTGGCAAAAAAGGAGAAACCGAGGCAAGAGGCAGCTTACTGGTGGGGATGTAAAATGGTACGGCCACTTTGGAAAACAGCTGGACAGTTCCTCAAGGGGCTAAACATAGGGTTAACAGAGGATCTAGCAATTCCACGCCTAGGTACACACCCAGGAGAAATGAAGACGTACGTTCACATGGAAACGGCACACTAATGTTCACAGCAACTTTATTCACAATACCCCAAATATGCAAACAATCTCATGTCCACCAACTGATGAGTGGGTAAACAACACGTGACCTGCCCCTACAGTGAAAACATGATTCAGCCACAAAAAGGAATGAAGGACCAACCCACGCTCAACACAGATGAACCTCGAAAACATGATGCTGAGGGAGAGAAACCAGACACAAAGGACCACATATTGCAAGATTCCATTTATAGGAAATGTCCAGAATAGGCAAATCCATAGAGACAGAAGGGTTTCTTTTTGAGATGATGGAATGTTCTAAAATTGACCGTGGTGACAGTTGCACACATCTGTGAATACACTAAAACCCACTGAATTGTATGCTTTAAATGGGTGAATGGCATGCGTGCGAACTGTACTTCAATAAAGCTGTTTACAAAACAGAAAAACAAGCAAGCAGCAGCTGCTGGAAACTTCCCCAGAAATCACTTCCACGGTGAGAAGCACGACCCCAGGCCAGAGCTCGTCACCAGGTCGCCCAGGCCCAAGGATGTACCTGGAGGGGGCAGAGCCCTGAGGGGATGGGGGAGCCCGGCGAGGTGTCTGAGTCCAGCCAGGTGGGTGGCTGGGCCCTGCTTCTGAGCTGGAGGAGCCCTTGCCATCTCCTCCCTGCTTCTGCCTTCTGAGCGGGCCTGGGAGCCTGGGGCTTGCAGTTCCTGAGTGGCCTCAACAGACAGACCCCAGGCTTCGGGGAGCTCTCACTGTGCAAAACTGAGCGGCCTGCAGAAACTTCACGCGGAGTAGCTCATCACCAAATTGTTCACAACTACTGAGCGCTTCGTAGGGGCCAGGAGCTGCACTAGGTGAGCCTTTAACGGGCATCACTGCCTTTAACCCTGGGAAGACCCTGGAAGGAGGCCCCAGAGTGTCTGCCTGTCCGAGATGAGAGAGCACTGTAGTACTGGGAGGTCAGCCCCTTTCCTAAGGCCACTTGGCAAACACGCAGTGGAGTTGAGTTTAGATGGAAGCTCTGAAGGTGTCAGACTCGTTTATGAGGCAGGGTCTCACTCTACTGCCCAGGCTAGAGTGCAGTGGTGTGATCATAGCTCACTGTAGCCTTGAACTCCTGGGCTCAAGCCATTCTCCTGCCTCAGCCTCCCAAGTAGCTGGGACGACAGGCGTGCATCACCACACCTGGTGAATTTTTTAATTTTTTGCAGAGACAAGATCTTGCTATTTTGCCCAGGGTGATCTCAAATTCCTGGCTTCATGCAATCCTCCTGCCTTGGCCTCCCATAGTGCTGGGATTACAGGTGTGAGCCACTACACATGGCCGAAAGCGTAAGACTTTACCTGCACCCTGGGCGCACTCACACGCACACCCTAGCCCACCATGCACACAGACTCTCCCTCATCTGGCACACATGTGGGTAGCAGTATGCCTTCAGTGCCCACCACGGCCATCCATGCTGACCAGCTCAGTGCGCACACACGGCTGTGGGGCAGGCAGGGGCTGTGGCCCGTTCTCTGCGAGCTAGGGCTTCTGCATCCACCCATCCTCAGCCCAGGGACTCCAGGAGGCTTGGGGCTTGCTTTCCAGCTCTGCTGCTGACATGGCGTCTTTCCACAGCAAAAGGACACTAGTGACAGCCATCATCACCATCATCATCATCATCATCATCATCATCATAGCTAATGCCGAACACTTACTGTCTGCAAGGCAGGCGCCACACCTGATGTTGGACAAACATTAACACAGCTCCTCCTCACTGTAACCCAGTGGAATAGGTGCTGTTAGGATTCCCATTTTACAGATGAGGAAGCTGAAGCACGGAGAGTGTAACAAACCCGCTCAAGGTCACACCACCATGAAGCAGCGCACCTGGGAGTGGACCGAGATCGCGTGACCCAGAGAACCGGCTCTCCGCGCTCAGCTGGAGCAAACGCGCTGGTCTACAGGTGTGTGACTCTCCTCACAGCCCGAGTGGCCGGGCTTCACGGTGTGCACAGGAGTGCGCAGGTGGCCCCACAGGCACTTGCTGCCAAGACTCCCCACCCCCACTCAGCCCAGCCAGGCCCGCCCACCCGCTATCTGCCATCCTCTCATCAGGAAGGTGGGTTTCCTGCCTCCTCCGCGGACGCCGCCTGGGCAGCGCTTGGCAATAGATGACTTCCTCCTCCACCGCACCCTCCCGCCTCCCTGCCCACCTCTCCAGCCACCCCCGCCCTCCCCGGAGCCCCCGACCCTGTACCCCAGCTCACCAGCTCCACCTGGGGCCCCAGGCCTTCCAGAATCCGATGTGCAGCTTCGGCCTTCTTCTGCAGGGTGATGGCGAAGAGGAGGAATTTTTTAAAAAAACAAAAAAACACAGATTATAAATAGAGGCTTCCCGGAGCAGCGGGCACCTGCCCAGCCCAGTCCAGCATGCTGATCCTCAGTACGGGGGAGGGAGGCCTGGGGCCCTCTCCAGGCCCTCCCCTGGCTGGAAAAAAACACAGAGGGGCCTCAATACCCCCACAGCGGCCCCAGCAAGCCCGCCAAGTTTCGATTTTAGCAAATGCGCCAGGTCCACCGAAGCCTGCTCCCCGGCAGGCGCGCAGGCCTCGCTCCCCCAGGGCCCGGCGATGTGGGCACCGCTCCCCGCCAGCCCAGCCGACACTGCCAGCCCTGAGATGCCTTCCCTCGCCCTGGAAGCTGGTTGGGTTGTCTACAATTACCTCAGAGCTAGTGCAGCCAGCGAGGGAAGGAGGAGGAGGAGGAGGAGGAGGAGGGAGGGTGAGATAGAGGCGCTCAGAGATACCCTTTCTAGGATTCTTGTGTTTCACAATCATGTGATTATTTCTGGGCTGCCCTGGGGCCTCCCCGCCTCCTCCCCACTCACAAGTGGGGACTTATTAGGAAAACAGGAACATGTGGTGCAGGGCTCGGCGGCCGCTCCGTCAATAGGCTGGACCTCTGGGCCCCCACCCCGGCCCTCGGCGTGAAGGCAGACGTTGTGCCTCGGCCAGGCCCGCCAGCCCCTAGCCTGGGACCACCAGGGTCCACTCAGAGGAGGCCTGGAGGATGGCCCAGGCCAGCCAGGTACAGGGAGGTGGGGGGTGGAGGGGCTCCTGAAGGTGGCTTCCTGGGGCTTGTGACGGAGGGCAGGGGCAGAATTTGGGTGGGTTTGGGCGCCCCCTGCACAAGGCTAAACTGCGTGTGTGCTGGCAAATGGGTGTTCACGGGCTGGCACGTGGGCGAGCCCCTGCTGTGACTCAGCTGCACTGGGGCAGCCACCCAGTATTTGGCAATGACTAGGCGGACAGGCCCCAGAAGTCACCATCACCATACTGAAACTGTCCCCAGTGACCCCAAACCCAGATTGGCCAAAAGTAGGTGACCCCGAGTCCTGGGAAACGTGGCTGCCAACAAAAACTTGACGCAGCCTTTGCCAAGATCTCCTCGCAGGGCGGAGGGGCCCAGGCTCCCCAGCTGCAGCAAAGAGGGGAGGGCATGGCGGGTCAGCATCACTCCCACTCCCCAGCCCTCGGAGAAAGACCTATGTAGGTGGGCTCAAGCCGGAACCTAGAGCTGCCTCTGCCTAGAGCCCAGGGCCTGGACCACCAAGAGCAGAGCTATGCTCTCGGCCACCTTCACGCTGAGCTGAAACCCCGAGACCTGCAGCCTCAAGGTGCGGCTGGGGGCTGGAACAGCAGGGGAGAACTATTACAGCAGTGATCAGTTCCCCAAGCACCTGCCATGAGCCGACCGTCAGGCACACGCTGTGTTCTTAACATTTCAATCACGCATAAGCACCACGGGAGGCACACGCAGGAGTAGCCCCATTTCACAGATGGTGAAACTGAGGCACAGAAACAAAACACAGGGAAGAAGCCCTTCTTACGACCTCCGGGATCCACGGACAGAGGAAGCCAAGGGCCAGGTCCCACGCAGGGCCACCCCTCGGCTTGGGACTAGTATTTCCGGTGGATGGGGGGAGACATCACCCTGAGAGTCACTGTCCCAGCCACACCCTCGAAGCAGGAAAGAGTCTGCCCTGGGGTACTGAGGATGGGAGAACCCCTGAGCCAGGGAAGGACTGGGTATGGGGTGGCATGGGGGCAGGGCAGCTTCCAAACGCTGGGACCGGTGGAGAGACAGGGAATGAATGAGACCTGGCGCCTGCCTGGAATAAACCCAAACAACAGCTGTTGGTTAAGAGCAGTGACAGCAGATTAGTATGCTCAGGCGGAGAAAGGTATGTATGAAAGTGTCTTGACTCAGCCTCCCCTCCCCAGAGAGGCCTTCCCTGACCCCCCACAGCAGGGTGGCCCACCTCCCTCGACCACTGTTTTCCCCACCTGGCTGTCTTCACAGCACGTGTGGTCAGGGGTAAGGGTCTGCAGCCCACTGTTTATCCTACTGGCCATGTCCCCCTGATGAGGACTCTATGAGGAGCAAGGCACCTGCTCTGTTCTCTGCTGCACCCACAGTGCCTGGAACAGCGTCTGGCTCAGAGTGGATGCTCAGGAATGGTCTAAATACCTGGAAATGGGGTCGGCTGGCTCCCTTGCTCAGGCTGGCTCCCTCACTCAGGCTGTCTCTGGGGCAAAGCATTCTTGTACCCACAGGCTCTCTGGTCCCAGCCCAGAACCCTGTCCTCTTTCCACGTTGCTGCAGCTGGCCCAGTGCCTCCCCGCCTCTCCACCAGGACCAGAAGAGGCCAGCGCCAGCCACCGAGCTGCTATCGTCCAGCAGGGCTCAGCACAGGATTGAGGGCAGCAGTCACTTTCTCCAGGGCCATGGGGGAAGCAGTCCACATCCCGGACATGCCTGGCCTTTCCAAGGACACAGAGGCCTCTCTGCCTCCTCCACAGAGGTGGCCGAGATGGCAGGCCCTGTCTCCCTGCTCTCCAAGCCACAACCAGGATTGCCAAGCCTCCCAGTAACCTGTTTCTGGGTGCAAGGGCTGCCCCATTTTACAGATGGGGAAACTGAGGCTCAGAGAGGACACTTGGATAGGAGGTCACCAATCCACACAGTTCTAGGCAAAATCCCAAACCCTTCCCACCTGAACCTCTCCCACGTAGAACATTCCCCAACCCCAATATTCCCATGGCTCATATCTGTACCTCTCCTTGGCCCCCTTGGGGGCCACCTCCTGACACTGGCTCCCTGGCTGCCCTTGGTCCTGGCAAACAGCAACTGCTCCAACAGGAGCTCCTGTCTGCATCTTCCCCATGCAGGCACAAAGCCCAGCTTGCAGGGGACACCAGGACACACTTGGTAGAGCTGAACCAACTCCACCCAAGGGTGGCAAAACTCAGGGACTGCTCCGGCCCAGAGGAGGCTTCATGCTGGGCTGACACCTGCCAGTGGGAGGCTGGAATTCAGGGGACTCAGCCCCACCCTGGGTGAGAAGGGAAACAGGCCTTTCTCAATCCCACTGAAACCCGACTGCCCCCACGCATGTCCTCCCATGTTCCTGGCCTTGCGGGGGCCGAGTTCTCTGCTCTGATGGTGGCAGGTGGGGCTGATGCTGCAGGGGAGGTGGCCAAGCCTGAGAGAAGCCACTGCCCAAGCTCACCTGGCTCAGAGAGGAGAGGAGAACCTAGGGACTCAAGCCAGTGAGGGGCCCTGTTCGCCGTGCTGTCCACCCACTGTAGGGGCTTTCACCAGGCAACTGGGGATCACTCAAGCAATGGCACCCCTGCAGGGACTCTGGGTCTGTGTGGCCAGACCTCCCATGCCCAAAACGCCTAGGAGCTGCGCTGGGGCACACAAGTCTTTAGTCATCTATGCAGACAGGTGCACGGGAGCACCAGACCCACGTGACCAAGTGCACATGCCGAGATCTAGGAATGCGCAAAGACATACACACACGTCCACACACGTCAAGGCGGACACACATACTCACACACGTGCACCCAAGTGAACACATGATGTAACCACACCCGCCCCACACACGCCATCTCACGCACATCCATCTCTACACACATGCACACAGCCTAATGCATACCCGTGTGAACACATGCTTATGCATACAGGTGCAGAGATACATGAATACCTACATACACGCCTCACACGTGCCAATTCGTGGATGCATGTGTTCACACATGTGCACACAGCACCCATAGTTACACATGCACACATACACACACACACCCACGTGTGTATGCATGGATGTGTAAGTGCACAGATAACCACAGACCTCACATGCTGACGCATACACACTTACACATATGTGCACATAGCCATCCAGAGGTCCACACACATGCACATATGCACGCATACACATACACAGGTGTGCTGTATCAATGCACAAATCACCACATGCTCGTCCCACACAAGCCGACTCTCACTCTAAGTATTCACATACAAGTATGCACAGTCATCCAAAGGCACACATGTATGCTCACCCATGTGTATCCAACACACATAGCACACATGCATCCATCTGTATATGCACATGTGTACCCACAGGCACATAAACCACACACGCATCCATATGCGGCTCTCCTCTAGGACAGAGAAACAGACCAGACACTGACCACTCCCTCACCTCTCCCCTGCCTGGAAGCCCCATCCTAGCCCCTTCTCTGCCACACTGGCCTCCTCGTCTGCAGATTGCGGGCAGCACCTACTCACCCAAGAAGCCCCGAGCCCCTAGTCCTGCACTCAAGCTCCTCCGCTGGCTGCAGCAGTGCCTCAGGGCAGCGGCCTACCCTGAGCTTCAGCTTCCTCATCTTCACACAGAGCCCCATGCCCGTGAGCCCTGCGCAGAGCCCTCCCAGGGTATGTGACGAGCAGGAACAGTGGCAGGTCAAAGGACACATGCAGCAGCCCCACAGGGCTGAAACGGACAATCTGAAAGAACCCCTGGACCCTGGGGGCAGTTTTGATGACCAGGTGGCTGGGCATGGAGGCCAGAGGTGGGGGCCTGGCACAGGATGCTGGGGCCACAGGATGGGGTCTGAAGCACTGCTCTGAAAATCTTGAATCAGGGGTCTGATGCTGGGCCCGACAGACAAGCATGAGGAGTGCCAAACCCCCCAAAAGACTCTCCTGAATGCTTCACGTTCACGGTGACTGTGGATGGTATTATTCGTCTTTGCCCTGCTCCGTCCTGATCACACGTGCACACACTGAGTCCTAATCACATCATAGAAACACCTTCCTTTTAAGATGCTTAAACTCGAAGACAAGGACCCGAGTTTTCTGCTGATTTCCGCATTACTCAGCAACTGGGGTTGCTGCTTCCATCAATCCTGCCTCCTCCTCACCTTGTGAGTAAGCAGTAGACATCTCCATTGGAAGCAGCCTTCTGCCTTTCCCCAGTCAACCTAGCTCAAGGCCCATTTCCCCTATGAAGCCCACTCTGCCTGTTCCGTCCTGAATTCCTGCAGTACCAGCAACCTGCGCTACACAAATGCCCCTTCTGCATCCACACGTTGCTAGTGCTGCCTGTGTGTGTGTCCTGTCCAGATCCCAAGTGTGTGCTTTGTCCCGGAACCAACAGGCTCCTACCTCATGCCCACCACCTTTGAAGATCAAAGGAGACGCCAGTCCCGTCTCTGGGACTTGGCCTGTGCCATGTCCCTCACCCGAATGCCCTCCTTCCAGCCCACCCGCTGCCTCCAAGAAGCCTTTCCCAGCGCTCACTTCCAGGTCATGCTTCTGCCCTCCTGGGCCCAGGCCACCCCGTCTGCTCCTGCTCTCAGGCTGCAGCCACCCTGCCGGCTGCCCTGCCATCTGTGCACACCTGCCCGGCCCCGGCCCCCGCCCACGCAGGCAGCTCCCGCGAGGCGGGGAGGTGGGAAAAGCCTTGCTCAGCGGGTGCCTCACCAATGTGCTCTGAATGGATAATGAGCCAGACTCCAGCACTCAGAACTGCCAGGCGGGCCCTGCCCGGCGGGGAAGCTGCATTTTCCGGCTGGCTCGGCGTTTAGAGACAGACCCTTGTCCTCCATCTCTCCAGGAACCAGCAGGGAAGGAAGGCAGATTAAAATTTAATCCTACTGATCCCCCAAGAGGCGGTAAGTCCAGGCTGCTCCTGCCAAAGGCGGCTGGGGGCCTCCCGCACACCAGGCTGCAGACTTTGGAGGCTCAGAGGCTCAGCCCAGGTGGAGGGTCCCCACCAGCCCCCACGCCCCCAAACCAGAGGCCTCTTCCACGGGCCAGAGCTGGCCACTCGCCTCCATCTCCCCTCCCCTTCTGCCACCTGAACATTTGCACAATTATTTAATGTGCATCTGCTGTGTGGTGAGCACCGTTTTAGGTGCTGGAGATACCACTGGAAATAAAAGTGGGCAGGAATAAAATCCCTGCCCTCACGGAGTTTCCATTCATAATAAACAGAATAAATAAGTAAACTAGAAATCACGTCCCATGAGGACAAGGCTAAGGAGAATCAGGAGCCACAAAGGAGGAAAATGGGTGTAATCCTGAAAACCCTTTTTCGTGAGAGAAGGGTTTTCAGTATTAAGTAGAGGGTTGAAACAGGTCTTGCTGAGAAGGAGCCACTTGAGCAAAGATGGAAGTGACAGTATGAGCCCTACAAGGAGAGGAGTACCAGGTAGAGGCCAAGGCACTGCAGCAATGTGCTCAGCCACTGACTTGGCCTCCACAGCTGCTGAAGAGAACCGTGCCTGCTCTCCACCAAGGATCAGAGACGGCAGGCAGAGGTGACACTCTCAGGAGCCCTGTCCATGTCCCCTCCACTTCGGGCTCCTGGAGCAACCTCAATCTTGGCTCCGAGTCCCAGGCTCAAAGCTCACTTGCTCTGCAGTCTCAGGGAGGTCTCCTTCCCTCTCTGAGCTTTGGTTTCTTGATGAGCAAAATGGAGAGAATAATAGAAGTTCTACTAAATGCAAATACTGTTCTATTAAATGTACAAGGTAAACAATCACAAGAAGAAATGAGAGCTACGATAATGACAATTAATAGCATCAGCTGGCATTTCTTTGGTGCCAGGCACTGTCTGTCCTAAGGGCACTAGGAAATCAGCCCCTTTAATCCCCACACCAACTATACTAGGTGATGCCATCGTTGTCATTGTTTTAAAGCCGTGAAGCGTGAGGCACAGGGAGGTTTAAGTAAAACATTCCAGGGTCACAGAGCCAGGAAGTGGGAGAAATGGGATTTGAACCCAAGATGCCTGGCTGAAGGATGTGTGGCCCCTGGGCTCTCTTATGACTGTTACTAGCGGTACTTGAGGTGAGGGGCCACGGTGTGGGAGAGTGACCCAGGCACACAGTTCCCAGGCCCCAAACAGGCTTGTCTCATTCTGCATGACATTGCTGTTTCTAGAGGTGGAGGCGTAGCCAAACTGGTTGATCAAGTAGTTCCCTGTCTCAGGCTGCTACTGCAGGCACCCACCAGACTCCAGAGACCTCCCCACCCCCACCTCAACTCTGAGCACTGATTGGCCAAGGAAGATATTACGGAAGAGGCAGCTGGGAAGGGTGGCTGGGGCTACAGGCAGGAGGGGAACCAGAGAAGCCAAGGCCAGGAGAGGAATTTCCGCATCTGTCACGCTTCACAAGGACCAGTCCCTCTCTGGGCCTCAGTTTCCTCATCCAGAAAATAAGGGAGGGGATCAACATCCACAGATCCTGAGTACATTTAGAAAAAGTCGATTGTAAATCATCAAAGCCCAGCTAGTAGTGGCTTGCCTGGGACGACGGGGAGCTTACCACCTCACCAGACACAAGGTTCCACGTTCGGGGTGCACAGACCCTTACGGTCCAGCCCCTGGAGACATGGCTCTGGGTACCCCAAGCCCCTCCACCAAGACCAGACCCCCTATAGCTGCCCCCAGTGGGATCTCCATGGGCCTCCACAGCCTGCTACAGACTCTGTTTCAATCATCTCAAAGGCCCCTTCGAGGGCCCAGTGTCAGTGGAAGCTGGTGCTGAGAACTCAGGCCCTGTGGTCTGACAGCCCACAGGTTCAAATCCAGGTCCAATGCTTCCTAGCTGTGTGACTCTAGACAAGTCACTTAACCTCTCTGGGCCTCAGGAAAATGGAAACGACGTCTGCACATGCAGTTCCAGGACTGACGGGAGGAGCTGCTCCATGAAAGCTCACTGCTGTGGTCATAACGTCATTATCTTTTGTCTTAAAGGGATTTCTTCTGCACGAGTGCCTGAAGTGGCAGCCCCTTACCCTGGGCCATCAGCTGGACCCTGGTGCTATCCTGGAGCCCAAAGCCTCCGTTTTGTGTTGCATCCCGCTGGCTAGCCACGGTTCACACCCATCTGCGCGTCTGAGCAGAACAGCCCAGAGGCCACACCAGGATGGCTTTCCACCAGTCACCTTCCCCCACCCACTCATAAACCCTGCATCTCTCGGGGAGAGGGTGGCGAGGTCCCCTCCCCATTTTGCAGATGGGAACACTGAGGCCCTATTCATGGTGCCCCCTGTGAAGCACCTCATGGCCAACACCAGGGAGCAGCAGGCAGGGGCAGGGACGCATACCCGGTTCTCGTCGTAGATGATCTGCACCAGGCTGCGGTGCTTCGACTCGATGGGCGGCGGTGACACAGGCTTCTCAGGCTCGGGCGGCTTGGCAGCCTCCTCCTCCAGCTGTTGCTGTGGGAAGAGGCAGAGCGTGAGGGGTGAGCACCCCGGCGGGCGGAAGGAGGGCTGCAGCTCCCAGGGCGTGGGGAGGCCCCCTTGCAGCCCGGGCCGCGGCCGTGCACAGGAAGTCAGGCTGCTACCCATTTCCTGTGAGTCACCCCAGGGACTCCGTACCCGGGAGAGGCCCCAGCTCCCGGGCCAGCTGCAACCTCCAAGCTCCGAAGCCAGGTTCAAATCCTGCCTTCGTGACTTGCCAGCTAGGGAAGCACAGCCGAGCAGCCTCACCCCACTAGGCCTCAGTTTCCCCCTCTGTAAACAGGGCTGATTGCCGTGCCGCCATTCTGACCATGGTGAGAACTCAATGAGTTACACAGGCAGGCGCAGCCAGGCCTGCTATGAGCCGGCATTACTACCCGTTACGGTTCCTACAGGCAGCATCAGTGCTAGGAGAAGCTGCGCAGACTCCGCAGCTGCACTGGCTAGACCAGAGCCAGTCCTACTGGCTCCCACTCCTACTTACTGCTAGCCTTGAGAAGCTCCTGGACCTCTCTGAGCCTTCCCTTCCTCTTCTGAAAAATGGGGATAAAAGTTACTACCCTAGGGGGCCGGTGTGAGGGTGAAATGAGCTGATGATATGTGCAAAGCACTTGGCACCTGACACACACGCAGCACTCCACCCACAGAGCTCCTCATCACCCTCATCATCCTCACCCTCATCACCCTCATCATCCTCATCTTTATCACCCCATCATCCTCATCCTCATCACCCTCATCATCCTCATCCCCCTCATTATCCTCATCCTCATCCCCCCATCATCCTCATCCTCATCATCTTCATCATCCTCATCACCCCCATCATCATCATCCTCATCCTCATCACCCTCATCATCCTCATCCCCCCATCATCCTCATCCTCATCACCCCCATCATCCTCATCCTCATCATCCTCATCCTCATCACCCCCATCATCCTCATCTTCATCACTCCATCATCTTCATCCTCATCACCCCCATCATCCTCATCCTCATCACCCCCATCATCGTCATCATCATCCTCATCCTCATCACCCTCATCATCCTCATCCTCATCACCCTCATCATCGTCATCACCCCATCATCCTCATCCTCATCACCCCCATCATCATCATCCTCATCATCCTCATGCTCATAACCCTCATCATCCTCATTCTCATCACCCTCATCATCCTCATCCTCATCACCCCCATCATCATCATCATCCTCATCATCCTCTTCCTCATCACCTCATCATCCTCATCACTCTCATCATCCTCATCCTCATCCTCATCACCCCCATCACCCTTATCTTCATCACCCCCATCATCCTCATCACTCTCATCATCCTCATCCTCATCACCCCCATTACCCTCATCCTCATCACCCCCATCATCCTCATCCTCATCACCCCCATCATCCTCATCCTCATCTGTCCATGTACCAAACACCCTCCTCCTAACACCATTGGAAAGAGCATCCCATCATGCTGCCATCTGCTTCATAGCAAGAGGGAGGCTGAAGACCAGAGGGTTTAGGGCACTGGCCCAAGGTCAGATGGGAAGCCAATGCCCCATTCTGCAGTGTGACAGGGCATCACAAGTGAGATCAGAACATGGTTCTGCTCCACTTATGATGCTCACACAGCCTGCACATGACCACAGAGCATATCAGTATGAACCCAAAAAGGTGCCCAAGAAGAAGTGAACACAAAAAGAGCCAGAAAATCCAGGGTGCTGGCTTCTGCAGGCGATGGTGCTGGCAGCTTGAGCAGAACTGCCTCAGTCCCACAGCAACCCCTGGTGGTCGCTTCAAGAAGGACATCGAAATACTCCCCCAAAGCACTGAACAAACAAAACCAAGAAGGGGAAGAAGTCCACAGCCGGGAAAGGGTGGGTGGCAGGGAGGCTCCCCCCAGCCAGGGAAGGTGGCCCTTCCTCAGGTACTAGCGAAAATACTACCTGGGACACCTACAGAGATCCAGCTAAGAGGGTGACTCAGCTCTGTTGGGCCTGGATTCAAGCCTGAGCCCCACACTCACCAGCTCTGCAGCCTCAGCCAGGGCACTTCACCTCCCTGACCTCAGTGTCTACTTCAGCAGAACCTGCGAGTACATGCCTACCTCATAAGGTTGTTTGGAAGATCAAGGAGATAATGCTGAAAAAACTGCTGCACAGCAGTGACACGCTAAAAAGGGCTGTCTAATGCAAGTCAAAACCACAACGAGATACCGCTGTACAACCACTAGGATGGCTGGAATCAAAAACATTTTTTTATTTTTTTATTTTTTATTTTTGAGACAGAGTCTCACTCTGTCACCCAGGCTGAAGTGCAGTGGCATGATCTCGGCTCACTGCAAGCTCCGCCTCCCAGGTTCACGCCATTCTCCTGCCTCAGCCTCCTGAGTAGCTGGGACTACAGGCGCCCACCACCACGCCTGGCTAATTTTTTTGTATTTTTAGTAGAGACGAGGTTTCACTATGTTAGCCAGGATGGTCTTTAACTCCTGACCTCGTGATCCGCCTGCCTGGCCTCCCAAAGTACTGGGATATTACAGGCATGAGCCACCGCACCCGACCAAAAACATTTTTAAAGGAAGATAAAAAAGGGTTGGTGTGGCTAGGGACAGTGGCTCACACCTGAAATCTCAGCACTTTGAGAGGCCAAGGTGGGCAGATCACTCAACACCAGCAGTTGGAGACCAGCTTGGGCAACATAGTGAAACCCCATCTCTATAAAAAGATACAAAAATTAGCCGGGAGTGGTGGTGCACGCCTGTACTTCCAGCTACTCAGGAGGCTGAGGTAGAAGGACTGCTTGAGCCCAGGATGTAGAGGCTCCAGTGAGCAAAGATGGCACCACTGGACTCCAGCCTGGGCAACAGAGTGAGATTCCATCTGAAAATTTAAAAAAAAGGTGGGGGGAGGGTTGATGAGGATGTGGGAAACCTGGAACCTTCATGCATTGCTGGTAAGAATGTAAAATGGGGCAGTTGATGTGGAAAACAGCCTGGAAAGTCATCAGCAAATTAAACCTAGAATTACTGTGCAAACCTGCAATTCCGCTCCTAGGTATATACCCATGAGAACTGAAAACAGGTGTCCCAACACAACCTGAACAGCAGCACTATTCACAACAGCCACAGCCGAAATGGCCACAGATGATGAAATAAACAAAAGGTGCCATCTCCATACAATGGAGTATGATTCAGCCATAAAAAGGAATGAAGGAATGAGACAAGAGACAACATGATAAACCCAAAACCATGACGCTAGGTAGAAGAAGCCAGACGCAAAAGGACGCATACTCTGTGATGCCATATATCGGAATTGTCTAGAACAGGTCAGTCCACAGAGACAGAGAGTAGGGGAACAGGGAGTGGCTGCTTTAGCTCCTATGAGGCTTCCCTGTGGGTTGTTGAAATGGCTGGGAACCAGATACAGGTGACAGCTGCACAACACTGCAAATGTAAGAAATGCCACTGAATTGTGCACTTTAAAATGATTATGCTTGAGAATTTCACTTTTAAAAAATGCCAACGTGGAATTTAGAGGGAAACAAACAAAGAAACAAACAAAAACCTAACCACTGAGAGCTGCCTCGAGCCACCTGGCTTCCAGCCACAGTCACCAATATGTGCCAGTGCCCGCAGCTTCAGCCCCACCCCAGGGCCAGGCCTCCCCCTAAAGGTGTGGTACCAGGCTGGCCCTGGCAATGCCTGCCCACCCCCACCGGGGCCCGGCCCCTCTCGGGATGCTTATGCCACCATCATGAGAACTACCTACTGCCTGCTGAAGCCTGGGACAGTTGGCAGAGTCTCCAGGACCGGGCCTCACTGTTGGACTATCCTCAAATCCTGGTTCCCCCAACCATGTGACAGCCATGGTGATGGCCCCTTGAAATCAACACTCTCCCCCTGAAGCGTCCTTCAAAACCCAGCTACCAGGGCACCTCTTCCTGGAAGCCTTCTCTCACCAGCCTTCACCCCCTGCCTACAGTGGCTGGAATGAGCCCTTGATCCTCCTTGGAGCCCCTACTTCCTTGTCTGGAGGGCACTAGATGTGAGCCTGTTTCCCCCATTAGTCTAGACGCTCCCTGGGGCCCAGACAGTGACACAATGACTGAATCAACCATTTTTAATGAGCACCTACCATGTACCCCATGCTGCTCAGAACACTGCAGTTAACAGGGAGACAAGGAGAGGACCACTGTATAACAAAGCTGGCTCTATATTAATTCAAATAATGACGCCACCAGCGGGGTGATGAGACAGATCAGCGCTCAGCAGCATTTCTTTTTGTTGAGATAGGGTCTCACTCTGTTGCCCAGGCAAGAGTGCAGTGACAATCATGGCTCATGTAGCCTAAACTTCCCGGGCTCAGGCACTCCTGCCTCAGCCTCCTACGTAGCTGTGACCACAGGCATGTGCCACCACACCTGGCTAATGTTTTAAATTATTTATAGAGACAGGGTCTTGCTATGTTGTCCATGCTGGTCTCAAACTCCCGGGCTCAAGTGATCCTCCAGCCTCAGCCTCCCAAAGTGCTGGGATTACAGGCATCGGCCACCATGCCCGGCCCAAAGCTTTTCTTTAAAGGCCTAAATAGCAAATATTTTTGACTTTGCAGGCCACACAGGTCTCTGTTGTGATGACTTAACTCTGCCACTGTGGCAGAAAAGCAGTCATATAGACACACATGTGTATAGCGATAACACAGACAAGTGGCCATGGCTGTGCCAATAAAACTTTATTTACAAAAAGCAGCAGCAGCTAGAATTAGCTGGATTGGCTGAACCCGGGATAGAGGAGGGTTGGGGGTGCGTGTTCTTGTACAAGGTGGAGGGTGGCCTCTTGGTGTCAGGGACATCTGAGCAGAGACCTGAATGATACCAGGGAGCAAACCATGAAGAGCTGGGAAAAGGCAGATTATCAAGGAATTGTATATTAACTCATATTTAAAACAAAATTATAAAATGAATGTTATAAATATTTACATCAGCTTTTTCTCCGCATGTCTTTGTGTGGTTTCAACAGTGACGATGAGGATTTATTTTTAATCTCGGGATCTTGCTCCCTCCTCTACAAGTTGTCCATTTTACAGGCAAGGAAACCAAGGCTCCAAAAGATGAAGGTTCCAGGGCCACACAGCTAGTAAAGAGCAGTTAGGAGGCCAGTCCGTTCAGATTCCAGAGCCAAGGGCTGTTTCCTCACATTACAGATAAGGAAAGTGAAGCACAGAGAAGGGACTGCCCACCTCACATTGCCTGGTACTGGAAGAAACAGGATCTGAACCTGGACAGACTGGCTAGACATCCTGAACTTTCACCCACCATTCTTGTGCTGTCTAATGCGGCAGCTTGTGTGGCTATTCAAAGGCACATTTCATATGCATATTAAACAAAAATTAAAAATCAGTTCCTCAGTTGCAGTAGGCACATTTCAAATGCTCAGTAGTGGAACGTGGCTATCCTGCAGACACACAGTGTTTCCATCATGGCAGAAAGTTCTGCGGATGGTGCTCCTGTCCAATAAATGTAAAGGGCATAAAAACCAGTGAGCACCCAGGAACTTGGGAAGGGCTTGGCACATGTCTGTGACACGGCAGTCACTGCTGCTAGAATGGAGACTCAGAGCCAATACTCCCCATCCCCCTGCCTGTTCACACCTGCTTCTTCTTCAGTTTAGAGATCTGCTGCTCCACCATGGTGATCTCTCGGTCCACGCGGTCCATGTTCTGGATCAGCTCCTCCTTGGACAGCCTCGGAGGCACCAGCTCCAGCTCAGGGTCGGTGTGCGGGGGGCTGGGGGGAGACACTGGTTCCAGCTTGCCCGTCAGGCTACGGTCCTGTGGCAGAAAAAAAACAGGCATAGGGTCAGCACGGGGGACACCCCCAGTCTGTACAACCCTGTGATGGTTAACACTGTCAACCTGATTGGATTGAAGGAGGCAAAGTATTGATCCTGGGTGTGTCTGTAAGGGTATTGCCAAAGGAGATGAACATTTAAGTCGGTGGGCTGGGGAAGGCAGACCCACCCTTAATCTGTGTAGGCACCATCTAATCAGTTGCCAGCGAGTATAAAACAGACAGAAAAATGTGAAAAGGCAAGACAGGCCTAGCCTCCCAGCCTACATCTTTCTCCCACACTGGATGCTTCCTGCCCTCGAATATCACACTCCAAGTTCTTCAGCTTTGGGACTCAGACTGGCTTCCTTGCTCCTCAGCTTACAGATGGCCTATTGTGGAATCGTGTGAGTTAATACTCCTTAATAAACTCCCCTTTATGTAATATATGTATATTACATATTTTCTGTTAGTTCTGTCGCTCTAGAGAACCCTAATGTAGTTGCCAACTTTTTGCCTGCTGCCATCCATGTAAGATGTGACTTGCTCCTCCTTGCCCTCTGCCATGATTGTGAGCCCTCCATGGCCACATGGAACTGTGAGTCCAATTAAACCTCTTTATTTTTTAAATTGCCCAGTCTTGGGTATGTCTTTATCAGCAGCATGAAAACGGACTAATGCATACCCCCTCGCCAATACACCCCTAGTTTCCATCCCTGACTCCAGGCCCAGAGTACTGGACTCTGTCAGGACAGTCCTCACCTGTTCAAGGATCCCATCCCCATCCCAGCCATCACCCATTCTCCAAAATTCAGAGTCCCTTACAGCCTTCAAGATGCAGTTCAAATGCTCTTGCTACATGAATGGTTTCTCAGCCTCTCCTCAAGTTGTGAAGTCTTCCAGCTCCCTGTTCCCATAACACACCTCCCTTCTTCCACTTACCCCCTCTGTGTGTTCCCCACCAGCTCAAGGAACCAAGACCCACAGCCTCCATCCTCCCGGGGCCTGGCCTCTGCAGACCTCTGTAAACATTCTCTCATGAAGCTCAGTCCAAACACGCAAGTTCCAGAACCATGCAGCCAACACACACGTGGCTTTGCAGAAAACACATATTCCCGAACACACGGAAAAGCCACCAGAACGGGCTACAGAGAAGCTAAAAGGAGTTATCTCGGCAGCAGGGCAGAAGAGGGTATTTTTACTTTCTTCTTCTTATTTGCCCGTATTTTTTCTGTTTTTCTTTCACTGAGAGTTACTCTTCATGTAATACAGTTGTTTTTGAAAATGTGCTTAACGACAAAGGAAGCCTGGATTCAGTTATCCATGGATGCCTTCATCCCACCAGCTAAAGTCTGGTGCACCCAGGCTGTGCTGGGAATGCTCTCAGAATAAGGAGGTTAGAAAAAACAACCCAGGCCTCCCCTGTGCAGCCCTGGGTTCACATCCCAGCCCCCTCTGCCACTCTCCAGTTCCGTGACCTCCAGCAGATCATTCAACTGCTTCCTGTCTCAGTTCCTCATCTGTTCAATGGGGAGAACAGTTCGCACCTCCACCTCCCCGGTCCTTGTGAGTCTTGAATGAGTTAATGGCTTTGAGCCTGTCATACTATAAGCCTCAATAAATGTTGGCTGGGATGGTCCTCCCCTAGCTGGGCTGCAGAACCCAGCCCCCGCCCTGTGCCATCCTTGGGGCCAAGCCGGCAGCTGCTGGCAGACAAGGCCCAGAGCAGAGCCAGGCCACCGCCTCCCCACCCCCACGGCAGCTGCACCCAGAGGACACAGGGTGCATTATTCCCCAGACAACTGCAGCCGGGGGGCCCCGAGTGCCCCCCCCAACCTCGGGACTCATAGAGGCTGCGTCATCTTCTGTCCACTCCTGCCATCCTCAGGGCCTCTGTCCTCCCTTCAACCCACAGAGTCCCAGCAAGACCCATAGGGGCCAAGAGTCTTGGAGTCATATTAGGTTTGCCTCCAGTCTCTGTTACCATCTGAGATGTGGGGCAAGCACAGCAGCAGCCTGGACAACCCGGTGCTCCCTCCACACACACAGACTCCTCGAGGGAAATAGAGAAAAGGGCCCTCATCCCTCAATCGCCCCAATGCGGTCCTCCATGCTCCTCAGGCCACCTCCCCAAGGGATACCCTAGAAATCACACCTGGGGCCGCTCACAGCTCAGCCCATCCCAGTCCTCTGCACACCCCATGAAGTAGACCCCACAACAGCCCTCCGAGGGGATTGCTGTTCCATCTCCATTACCAGAGGAGGAAACAGAGCCTGGAGGCCACTGGGACTGGATGCCAGAGGCCGGAACTTTCCTATAAAGGGCCAGATGGTAAAAATAGCTCAAGCTTTCAGGGCCACAAGGTCTCAGTCTCATCTACTCACCCCTGCCATTGTATTGCAAAAGCAGCCACAGGCGATGGGGAACAAGTGGGCGTGGCTATGTGCCAATAAAACTTTATTTACAAAAACATGCTGAGGGCCAGATTTGGAGCTTGCTGGAGTTTGCTGGCCTCCTGCTCTAAGCAATTCACAAGTCTTAATCCACGTAACTGTCATAATCACCGTGGGAAGTGGGATTACAGTTCGACAACGTGCCCAAGGCCACTCAGTGTCCTACCTTGAAATCTGCTTGAAAGGGGAGGCTACAGGGGCTTCCATGTCAGAAATGGCCACACATCTGTTCACCCCACAGAACCATGGGGCTGAGCATAAGCGCCAAAGCAGCACCCCTTCCAGGGTCCCAGAGTGCAGGACCTCCAGAAATTCAAGGCAAAAATGTGTGTGGAAGAAAAACTCCCTAGAAAAAGCCTCAGGAGTGTGTATGCATGTACCAGTGGGTGCGGGGCCCTCACTGCTCCCCAACAGGAGGGCAGGCAGGGGGCCATGGGCACCTGACCCCACCCACAGCAAACCGTGCACAGCTCATGCGTCTGGCACTCCCGAGCCTTTGCACAGGTTGGCTCCGCTGCCCAGAGTGCCCAACACCCCTTCTGTGCCAACTGACATCAGACCCGCGTCCCCACACCACTGCCCAGCCCCTCACTGCAGTCCACCTTGGGTGTTTGGCTGGTCTCTCCCTGCAGCCCAAGTCATGTCTTGAGGTTCTTAAGACAAAAGGTAGCAGCAAACATGGCACCCAGAATCCGGTCACACTACTGGTGGCAAAAAACATCTCTGCTATCCTATCTCTGCTCTTCTACCTGGACCAAGAAGAGACATAACAGAGCAAGAAGAAGGATGTGGAAGGAAGGGCTCTGGGGCCAGGCCACCCTAAAACTGTGAGAGCAAACTGCTCATCCAACCTGGGAATAATTCTCCAAAGCAACATTAACAAAAAGAAGGTTTCCATCCCCAGGGCTAACAGGCAGCACCAGGAGTAGAAACAGCAACTGGCAACCATTAGCAGTTGCTAGAAACTTACTTCCTTTAAACTCTCCATGGATAAAAGCTGTTGTTTTTAATGGGTTCTTCTTTAAGTTCGGGTTTAGCTTTTATTCGCAGCAAAATTGCACAAGTAAGTCCATCACCTGATGAACAGATAAATAAAACATGGCATATCCACACAATGCAATGTGAAGGGCGGACATGGAGGTAGAGGCAGGAGGATCACTTGTGCCCGGGAGTTCAAGACCAGCCTGGGCAACATAGCAAGACCCCATCACACTGACCCAGGCTACACTGTGGATGAACCCCAAGAATATGATGCTGAGTGAAAGTGGCCAGACATAAAAGGCTGCAGAGTGTATGATTCCACTTACATGAAATGTCCACAATAGGCAAATTCATAGAGATGGACAGTGATTTGTGGTTGCCCGGGAAAAGGAGGAGGGGAAAGTGGGGGGTGATATGGTTTGGCCATGTCCCCACCCAAATCTCATCTTAAATTGTAGTTCCCGTAATTCCCACATGTTGTGGGAGGGACCAAGTGGAGCAATCATGGGGCATTTTCCCCCATCCTGTTCTTGTGATAGTGAGTGAGTTCTCATGAGAGCTGATGGTTTATAAGGGGCTTTCCCCACTTTTGCTCAGCACTTCTTCCTGTGGCCATGTGAAGAAGGACGTGTTTGCTTCCCCTTCCACCGTGACTGTAAGCTTCCTGAGGCCTCTCCAGCCGTGCAGAACTGTGAGTCAATTACACCTCTTTCTATTCTAAGTTATCCAGGCTTGGGTATGGCCTAATTAGCAGTGTAAGAACAGGCTAACACAGGGAGTGGCAGTGTAAGAACAGACTAATACAGGGAGTGGCTGATTAATGAGTATGGGGGTCTCCTTCTGGGGTGATGAGAATGTTCTAGAACTAGATAGGTGACAGCTGTACAACACAACACTGTAAATGTCCTACAAGCCAATGAGCTCTTCACTTTAATGTGGTTACTTTTTTGTGAACCGCCCCTCAATTGAAAAAGAAGAGGCAAACCCAGATTGCCAAGAGCGCTTCCCCCGGTGCTGGGTTTCCCAGGATGGGGGCTGAGGGAGCCTGGCGGTCAGGCCTGCAGGTGCACTACCGATGACTGTCCACCTTTCCCACCCACCCAAACCCGCGGGGAGCAAAACAAACTAATACAGCCCGCACAAGTTGCCAGGGAGCAGTGGGTACCTTCTACTCATAAGATGCCCCTGCTGTAAAACTTCAAGCTAGTGTGAAAGAGAAAAGTTTATAGTATAAGTGAAGACACAGAGGCAGAAAAGCCCCCCAGCTCCCCTGTGCCAGCTCCAGGAAAAAGCAGGGCCCAGCTTCACGCACTCCTAGCACACTCCCTACTCCAGCCACAGTGACAGGTTCTGGGACAGGCATGGGCCCACTCATGGTGAGGAGAAAAAGCAGTTTGGGGCTAGAAATGTGGAGAGAAGGAGGGAGAGTTCTCTCTTTTTGCTGGCCTTGAACCTGGGAGAAGGAAGGCCTGGAGTCACCAGCTTCCTTCCTACTAACACACCAAGACCTTGTGAAAGATGGCAGGGTCCTGAGGACATCATGTCACCTAGATCGAGCTGTACCTGA